ATAACTTAGGAATGCTGGATCCTGTTCCTGAAAATATATAGGTACTTTTAGATCTAACTAAATTGTTATGTAAAATGTTAGTGAAGTTAACCTTATCTATACCCTTATTATGAAAATATACTTTTATAAAGTGACGAGTTGGAAAAGATTATTTACTGTTTGGCAGGTACAGCTTGCTCGAGAAAGACACCGTGGTTATTCTTATACATCACCTGAGATTAGGTCCACAATCATGTACATGGGTCTGTATCTTTTACTTTTTTTGTCAATTGTTCTCAAGGACGAGAATTATGAAAAATACCGTGATATGTATAATTTATTATTATTTGGGCGCGGCCCAAATAGAGTAATAGAGATGGCTTGTTTTGATTCAAAGTTGCAATAGGCACGCAATACGAGCGAACGTAAAGAGGCCAAGTAAACAAGCCAAGCGACGCGACTACAATGTCTGCTCGCGATGTGTCACGACACAGCATTATCCTCGTTACATGCGTCCCACGGCAAAAAATCGGCAATACAAGGCACACTGAGAGAAACAAACTATTAATTGATATTGGAAAATAATCGTCCTCGCGTGAATGTTTTTCCTCCAGACCATAGGTACCGGTCATTACCCTTTTTCATTCTAATATATAGATTAAGCCAGGGCTAAAAGCGAAGCTCTTGTTAATAAAACTTGTAAACAAAAAAATTAAATCGTCTAATGCTAAACGGGGAGGCCAATGGAAATGGCATCAATAGATCTAATTAGCAAAAAAACAAATTGCACGTGCAGCACACTTTTTTTTCTAATTAGCAAAACAACAAAATTTGCACGTGCAGCACGCTTTTCGTCCTTCTTTGCCGTTGTTTTGCACAACTACAACGCTGTTTTGTAGGACCAAACGTCAAACTTTCTAGTTGCACATTATTTTTATGGAGGAATTCTTACCCAATATTTTGTCTCCTGTGTTGATGTTCGCTTTTATTTTTCAGTTCCTACAAAATTCTTCTCTTTTGTTCTCAGAAACTAGCTGTAGCTCAGTTTCTCTGTTATCCACGTGAGTGTAAACATCAAAAATAACGTTGAAAAAGAAACGACTTTGTTGTTGTTTTTTCTTTCTAAAAGTCCGGGCGGCCATGCGATTTCTTTCCAAATAAAACCTTGAGTTGCATTTGGGTTGCCATGCCTGTTAATTGAATTATTTTACATTGGTATGTCTGTGGTGCGGCCGTACGGTCGGGCGGGTGGGCGGTCGGTGTACGGTCACGTGATTCCCAAATTTTCTTGGATGGGTAGTTTACCACATTTTTTTACCCATGGTGCTCCGCTGCGCGCTTCGCGCGCGAGAGCTCCGCTACAAACTATTCATATGCCATTAAGGACATGTCCTCTCAGCTACAGGACCTTTTTTGCAGGGAAAAGATAATCTTATAAATCTTAAGCTTACGGTATTTTTTATCTTACCTGAAAAGCCGCGCGATTTTTCAGAAATTTAAAGGTAAGTCTGTCGAAAATAACTGGAATTGTAGGGTGTGGCTTATTGCCAAGAACTTGACAATATTCTTGCCCTCAATTGTCGAGAGGGAAGAAGATGTCACGCAAAATTGCGTGATCGTGTAAAAATAAGAATAGCAGTTGAATGATGCACAATTTCACTGCAGATTTTCGGAAAGGAGGTAATTTCTTATAATCTTACTGAAAAAAATGATGACATGAACAAGTTGCATTCTTTCACGTTCGAACCGCAAAAGGAGGGGGGGGTGGGGTGGCAGGGGGGCAGAGTCTAACATCTCATGTGATCAGGCCCTTCGCCCAAAAGTGGGCTTTCAGTTACGTTACTTCAAAAGGAGGAAATATAGATTTTCCTCCCCCATCCCCTCCATGCAATGTTGTGCCGATGTTCGAGCTACCTAAAGAAAACAACAAACACCCGAACTTTGAATGGAGGGGTTAGAGGAGGGAAGCAGGTTCTTTTGTTCTCCGAAGTTACCCTATTTGAGAACAATGTCTCAACAATTAATTTTTGTTGCCGATTGTAGCGCTGCCAAGGTGACTTTTAACCCGGTGTTACATGAAAAGGACCAGCCCCAAGCCGCCATTTTTTGTATAGCCGGTTGACAGACCCGTTATTTTCCCTTCAAAGTTCGTCGAGCGGGGTTGATAAAAGATAAAGCGCAGGGGATTTATTGACCGCCAGCTCAAGGGGTTAGTAGTTGGGAAGAAGAAAATAGACGGTCGTTCTTTATTTTTCTTTCTCGCGCTCCGCGCTCGTTCTCGCGTGCTCGCTTCGCTCGCGAGCTCGCCGATGTTCTTGAAAAGAACGAGAAGAAAAATAAAACGACTGTGTACAGGCTATTTTTTCTATAGAGATTAGAAGCAATGCGCATGAGCAGTGTGTTACCCGCTGTCCTGTTTCTCGTTTGGTTCATTCGCCGGGCCGCCCGGTAAGCGTGATTATTTGGAAAATTTCCACCTGGGATCCCTGCATCTCAATACTGGGATCCCAGCTAGCCAGGCTGGCTCGGTTGTCATATAATCGCAAAGTATATTTTTGTTGCGTTTAACTAAGGTACCGGGATCTCTGAAAGGCGAGCCAGCTTGGCTCATGTAATCAGGCCGTTAGTTCTACAGCCAGATTTCACGCCCTCCCCCTTGACCTCACCGATTTTTCAAAGCCCCCGAACACACACACAAAATCTTCATACCCTCTTCTCTATATTGAAAGAACTTTCCCTTATCCACGTTCTCCGCCAATACAAATATTATCAAAAATAGCCGAAAACAATCCTAAAAGGAAAGTCTAACAACGTTTGAAATAAGTGCAAGTATGTTTTCGACTACTGATAAGATGTTACACAACCACCACTTCATTTCAACAGATTGTAACTTCATTATCCCTTCATAACCAAATTGGCACTTGCACAACTACCACCTCACTACCTTTAGTTTCAATTATAATGAAGGAATTAAGGTTTACTTGACTTTTAAAGTCAATATAATTATAACAAAATATATAGACTATGAATTAGCGGTGGAAAGTAAATTGCTTAAAAGTGTATGTAGTCTTAATTCTTTAGAAAAAGAGAAACTTAAATCATTATTCTTATAAGGAGTATTCCTTTGAAACCGGCAACGGAAAAAGGTATACTAAGCAGTGATGAGTCATTATATTTTTCTTTACGCAAGTGTATTTTTAGTAAGTTGGCTCAATATTTTGCCCTTATATACTGTTAGCCTGTGAGCAAGCTCTCTGGGGTGCGTTGGCAGTTGGACGGAAAAGGAAGAAAAACTGCTGTTGTGTATATCATTATGATTATATCATCCTTATCGTCACAGTCATCACATATTAGGGAACTTACGAAAAAGCGTTTTTGAGCGACCACGTCAGCATGCAGAAAGTGGACTTTTTACATTCCTGAGCAGTGGTTTTGCCAACATTCTCAGGTACATCGTCAATACAAGTGTAAAGAAACTAGGCAATACAAATTTTATAGCGTCAAGGTGTATTTTAAAAAAGGGAAAAGTCATCACTTCCGGTTGACGTGCGTCTCTCAAAACAACCTTTGCTTAAGCTCCGTATTATGTCATTAATCATAACTATAACAAAGTTGTCAAATCTGATTGGCTATCAACTGCCCTGATTTCAGCCTTAATTAGACAGTTTAATAAGGACAGTACACGTCATGCCTAAGTAATTGGACAGTATGCGCCATCACGCGCGCCCTTAAATGGCTTTTTTTTTTTCACTGCTAGCAAAACAAATTTTCGAATTTCTTGTGTTTTGATTTTAAAAAATAGCCTATTATATCAAAAATTTTGTTAAAGTTATGATTAATTGGTAACAGAACTTCGTGTCGTCCAATTCGGTCTGTAATCATACTCGTGATTAAACAAATCGGACTCCCGCTACACGGTCGTCCGATTTTGTTAATCAATCGTATGATTACAGACTGAATTGGACTCCACTCAGTCCTGTTACCATTACATACCCGGGACACAGTGGTCCCTGGTCCCTTGGATAGCACATACTTCAGCTGTTATTTTAAGTTGCACTGCGCATTTTAACTCATTAAGATTATAACCCTTCAGATCTTCTTGTTACGACTGTTTTCCAAATGTTTCTTTTCATTTCTGTTCTCAGTATGTGTAAAAACAAACTTGATTAGAATTAAGGACAGTACTGACCACAGGTTGAAATTTATGCTTGCTTGCTATTTTAAATACCTATTCGTTATTCATTACAGCTTAGGCTTCTATTTTCTTTTAGCGTTCGTCTGCAAGATATGTAACTAAAATCAAACAGCGACAATAAGCGAGACTGCATCTTGGCGAACCACTCTTTACAGAATGGAGTAGAATAGAGTGCATTTTTGTCCACTACCTCGCACCTTTCCAGTACTATCCATTCTGACAATGACCATTTCTACACACCTAAGTGGCCAAAATTCGGATTCATTCGTTCTACGGTTGATTGTGAAAACCTCTTATTCTGCAATAGCAACCCACTCTAAACAGTGGATATAAAGAGGGTTAAATGCTGGAGAAATTGGTAATTGGTAGGTAAGAAGGCGGGGAACTTGATGCCTCGAAGAGGGCCCAGGGGCAGGGTTCTATCTAGGACTTATCGTTTGGGGGAGACGCCCCGAGTGGCCAAAGGTCACAAGCTTCTTAGGGGGGTCTCGTGGCATGCCCTCGCCGCCCCTCCTCCATGCTTTGGAATGAATATGCGCTGAGATGCAATCTGGTGCATTTTGAAACACAATTTTGAGAAATGTAACAGTAGTGCTTAAATAAAAATAGTCCATGTTCCTTGTAATATGGTGTCCTTCGGCAGGGAATACTTACTTCATGTGCACTGATCTCGTCGCGTCTGGATGATTTCTTCCGATATAGCTACTTATATACTGTAGTGGTAACTGTATTTTTGGGGGGAAGCTGCTACCCCTCAAATACCCTAGACAGACCCTGACGTGGATATACCTAAGGGAGTACCTGATTCGGGAAGACTCTGGCCTATCTACAAGAAATGTTCCGTCTTCTGAAGTCTCGGAACGCACGACAAATTTTCACGTATTTGAACCCCAAACCTGCGGAAATATTTATCATCTGGAGGGAAAGTCCTTTGCAATTCCTGCATCACTGAAATGAGGTCCAGTGTTTCTAAACGCTTGGTCAGAAGCTGCAGCAATGTGGTTAACTGGTCCTTATCTGACAAATGCACTTCAAGTGTTTCACTGAAAATGTTTTCTCTTCTCGCAATTCTTGAAAAATTATTGGTGATCAGAAGCTTCGTGTGTGGAATTAGTGCCAACTTTTCACGCAGAAATCTTTCTATGGTGATGTTTATCTGGTGCATTGCAGCGGTCTTTCGTACCCAACTCTGTTTGTGCTGAATAAAGATGACGAAAAGGGTCGATTCCTTTCCTAGAAAAAGATAAAACAATTTTTTTTTCTAAAAACCTCTATCGTCATTCATATTTTATAACAGCCATAACTTAAGTTTGCCTACTGAGAATTCTAATCAGTTTTGGACATTATTTATTGCCAAGTTTTAGACTTTTCGAAAGAAGAATAACGGGAGGAAGAGGAGCTATAAATTGAGACACAGTTTTACAGGGTGCATAAGAGTGTTCCGGGATGTAGCAGTGAGATTTCGAGGTTCTTCGTCATGTTGGCTTATAAAAACTATTCAAGAATTCCCTCTTCAGTCATTACTTACCCCACCAATAATAAAATAAATGCTAGATTGACTTAGTTACCTTATTTATATCTACTTATACTTAATGTATAGATTGCTTTCACGTGTATGCGTCACGGTGTGTTTGCGTGTGTTTGGACCAGTAATATTTTATTGTTTATTGTATGTTATCCTTTTTGTTTTTCTGTATTAGCATTTTATTTAATTTTATTTAACTAATTAATTCATTTTTCTTCGTTGTATCCACTTAATTATAAATCTTTTATATTTTCCCATCTACTAGGGCAATGTATTAGTTTTACTATTTTTGCCCTTTTTCTCTTAAGTTATTTCTTAATTATTTGTTTCTGTATGGAGAAATAAAAAAAATGACTAGGCTGGCTTATAATAAATGATACAACTTGACTGTTCCACAATTTTTTAACAGTATATGGATGGACACTTAAACGGGACTTATGATTTTTAAAGGTTGCTGAACGGATGTTGTCGCGGATGTTGTCTGAACCTTTGTCATTTGGCAGTACTTCTATCCATTTGCGATGACGCTTAAAACAGTCATTTCCAATTTTTTCAATCTCTTTTTTTAGTTCTTCCTCCTTCTGCTTTATCTACTTCTCTATCAATGGCTTCCTTTCGTTTTTCCACTTTTCTATTTTTTCTGTCAGCTCTTTTAGTTCATTTTTCATCTCAGACTCCTCTTTGTAGAAAACACTCAATAGTTTCTTATCCGTCTTGGTTGAGAACGTTGCTTCATGCTGCCTGGCTATTATATCTTCTTGTCCCCAGTCATACTCATCATCAGATGCCATCCGAAATCGGATTTCCGGCTTTGACAAGTAATGTATTAATTTCTCAGCCAAAAACCAACTAGACATGAATAACAGAAGACTCCTGATAGCAGCTGAATTTCATTTTGTGCATCCAGTGGAAAAAGAAAGTTAAAAACATTACAAGTTGACACAAAACTCTGTCAGCTTCAGCTGTCAAAGTAAGCAAGATTCAAGATGCTGCATAAATTTTGACCAATCAGAGCGTAAAAATTGGACGTAGAGCGTGACCAACGCGTGACCATGGTGAGCAAAGTCAAAAGCAGCTGCCTTCCCTGCCTGTAATAGCTGGCTGAATTTTCGCGCCCGACGTCAGTTTTAAATCAAAATTTTAATTGTGCGGCACAAAAACAAAACATGTTTCATATGAATTAAAAACAATCAAACTTGAGTCTGCGATCATTTGAAAACTAGTAACTTGTCAGCGGATAACTTCAAAAAATACTCGACCTCGATGGGTCGACACCTGAGCCCGCGATACGGTCAAGTGAGATTGGTCAGCGGATACCCTGTTTTGACAGCTGTCAATTGATCACAACATTGATGTCCAATGGATGTGTGCATTATCAGTTTTCCTGTGCTCTCAATTTAGCTAGAAAGTATGAGATTGAACATTGATTGCGAGCTAGTAAAACAACTGGTCAGCGGACAGCTTCCAAATAAATCACGTCACCTGGATGAGTTGACACACGAGCCCCCGATATGGCAATGTGATACTGGACAGTTGCTATCCCCGTTTTGACAGCTGTCAATTGACCATATTGTAAATGGCCAATATAAAAGATATGGGTTTACCAAGACACACCTGATACACCCCTCCCTTCCTTTTGATAGTCTCCCCTACCCTACCCGTACAATGTGTAGACGCGTGCGTACGTACGTACGTACGCTTGGTCACTTCACGTGACAACCAAACGAAAAGAGGTTGACCATATTCTATGAGTATGGGGCTCTGTCCCACGCGCGCTTCGCGCGCGAGGGAGCCCCGCTGTTAAGACTTGAACATAACCACCTTTTCGTCTCTCAAACTTATTTTCAAGAATCCTTCGTTTTTCGAACTCCTTGACTTTCTCAAGCAATTCTTGTTCCTCTGCTTGGGTCAAAATCTCCTTCAAGACGTCGAGACGATTAATTCTAAGAGAACTGTTGTTCTTCAGTTCCTCAAACAATGATCGAACATCGTGAATGCTGCCTTGCCTGTCTTGTGGTATCACTCCTTCGCAAATCGAGACTAGTCGTTCCACATCATTTAGTTCGTCGAGTGCCCGAATAATCTGCCTAGGCAAACAATCGTATTCCTTCCTCTTGGCCTCAAACTTTTCAACATTTTCTAACAGAGACCATTCCTTTAAGCCTTCCAGCACTTCCTTCATTACATCCAGTCTGTCAAGTCCTAGAAATTCCTTCTCTTTCAATTCAACAAAGAACGAGAAGACATCTTGTAAATGTTCTTTGCTTCGAGGCGCCACCTTCCCTCTGTACATAACAATCGTCGACCTACATTCAGTTCGTTAAGTCGCTGACTTACCTTGACAAGCAAATCACTGTATTCGATGGTAGACATTTTTAAGACCACGACTTTATCCTTTCAGTCCATTGCCGTGCTTCTCTCGCTACCAGATTTTGTAGTAATCATGCCTGCTTCGGCGTCTGTGTTCCCAGTTGGGTGTTGTAGGCGATTACGTTTGTCATGCGACATAAACTAATAGATGGTTTTCACGGTGACGTCATCGAATTGTAAGGTCAAAATAGCGAGGTTTTACGAATTCTCATTTACACAAGGTTGAAGATAAACAAAAAATAAATCCTTGTACAAGTTTCCAGTCCTGTAGCATGTTTCATTTCGAAACAACAACAATTTGAACTTTCGAGTTTTCACAGTGCGTGACAGAAAACAGGAATGCTATCTCGTTGAAAAAAAGCCTCTCCTGCTGATTTTCAGCAGTTTAATCATTTTAAGTATTAAAAGATGTGTTTATGCGCGCGTATGCTAGCTTTCCGGTGGAAAGGAAGAGCTTTTATAGAAAATGTGAACTCAAGATGTTTTTGTTGATTTCCGGCAGCCATATTTGTGTACCAAAACTGTACAAAAATATGGCGTCTCAATACAAAGCTCTACAATGGTGCGTGAAATATTTGGGCAAATAACTCAGAAACTGAGGGCCACATATACCTGAGACTTGGACAATTTTTTATATATCAGTCTTTTGTAACATTTCATTTTCTTGGCTTCTTCCACTGGACTGTTTCCAATTCATTTTTTTTTTTTGCCTTGTTTATTGCGTGACAGTGAAAACGATCTATTGAAAATTCAAAATATTAGTCACGCGACCTTGTGTTGCCTGTTTGATTTTTGCATATTACCTCAAACAAAACTGTTGTCAAATCCCACTTGCTGAGTGGACTAACGAGGTTTGAATACCACCTGGATTGGCTATATATAGATTTAGACCACTTTCAGGAAAAATTTGGACCCACAATGTAAACTTTTGGGCTAACCAGTAATTGTGTAAGCAATTAAAGTTTTATTTATTTATTTTTTTATTTATATGAAAATTGATAATGTCACTTTTCAAACTCATTAATAATTCATTAAGAAAATACAAAGGAAATTAATGTTTCATGAGTGTTTGGAAATCGGATGAAAAACTGTTCATTTTTGCATCCTTAATATCTCCTTCTAAAATCATTTTGTTTGAGAGGGAATATCAACCATTCGACACAGTATTTCATCACCAGATGAAACCCCTCGAAGTTCGTAAAAAATTCTCCGTTGCGCGTCGTATTTTCAACTCCCTTATCGGTGTTTCATCTGGTGATGAAATGCTGCGTCTCATGCTTGAGGCTTCCAATTTATGTGTCGCTTTTCACCAGTCATACGACATGAATCCAGTAGGCTGTGAAAGTAGTCAGCGGGCGATAAAATTATTCAGTTGTTAATCAAAAAGAATAAAAACACAAAAACACCAGTAGCGACATCACCAATAGAAAATGCGCAAAAGGAGCTTACCGATTATGAGATTAATGAGAGGGTAAATCAATTAGTGTCTGGGGGCGGGATGAGAAAATATATATTTAACAATTATTCTTTGAAATCGAGGTGAATAGTGGCAAAATATTTACCGAGCCACGAAGTGGCGAGGTAAATATTCCTAAAGCCACTTTTCACCGAGATTGAAAAGAATAATTGTTTTAGTATATACACACGAAGTGATCTCAACAAAATCAGAGAGGAAACCATTAAAAAGTACGCTTTGTTTGACAGATCAGGTCAGCTAGGCACGCGACAGTTTAAAAATAGATCTTTGTAGAATTTTCAAACATGGCAATTCACAAGCTTATCACTTCGCAAACAATAATAACTTCAATAGAGCCGCTAAAAGTTTGAATTGTTTCCTTACCTGAGAAGAAAAGAAGAGCGTTGTTGTTTTGTGTTGACTCGCCAAGTTTATAGCCGAAAAGGTTTGTTGTGTCGTTCTTCGCATGAAGTGCTGACAAAATGGCGATTCGGCTCCTCGAGGTAAGACGTCGTTTTCATGTAGTATTCTTTCTCGTGTTTACTTGAAACGTAGAATTTCTGCAAACATTTGCTTTCAAATTTGTTTGTCATAAATAAACTTCGTTGTTAGGCCATATTTTTTTGTTCCGGGAAACGCTGAGTTCACAAAACGGTCTCTTCTAGGCGAATAAACGGGAGTTGTAAACAATCCATCGACCACCAAGATCACTGAGTGTGTATATACTAAAATCTAATAGTATATGAAATCATTTAGGGATCCAAAATATGTTGAACAATATGAAGATGTTATTTTTGACCTAGAAACAGCACTAAGTACAACTGTCGCCAATAATGCCAATCAGAAAAAGGATGGCTACAGGTTTGTTGTTGATAACAATGGAGAGGCTACACCATTCGACTGGTATAATGTCCGTATCAGTCTTATTTTAAAGTAGTCTTACTGGCTAATGGGGGTAACATTGCAGTAAACGATCATAATGGTATTGCAAACGGGTTATACTCATTTTTGAAGCATTTTGATATTAAGCTCAATGGCAAGAAAATGTATGATTGTAATGATGCAAATCACGGTGTTAATATTAAGAACTTACTTGAGCACAGTCCGGCTTACGCTGAAAAAACAGCAAGTAATGAGTTTTTCTTCCTTGATACATGCAGACCAGCGGAAGAGCGGGAATTTGAAGTTAGTGGGACAAATCAGTTAGCCAAAAGAAGAGCAGCTTACAATAAGGGTTTGCCCTCTGGAAAGCACTTCTGCATACCTCATCTACAGTAAACACTGAAATACCACTGAACCTCATTCTTCGAAATGTTAGAGGACGAGCTGTTACCCAATACAAGGGTTGAGATGAATTTTGAGATTGAGTGAGATGGTAATCTAATTTGGCAGGCCGGAGCTGATTGCAGGGTAGTTATCACCAGGATGCAATTGTTTGTTCCGCGAATAACCTTTAACAGTGAGGGCCAATCACCCTATATGAGCCAATATCTCAAGAATCATAAGTGGACTTATTTGAGAGAGAATATAAAAGATTAAATAGCAGCCGGCAGAGAGCTGGGCATTTCAGAATATCAACTGGTATTACGAAACCCAGACACGTTTTTGTGTTTATAATCAATGATGCAAATATTGACGTCTGGACGGCTAATGCATTCTTGTATAATACATTCCAGGTCTCAACTGACCCAAGGATGTTATCCAATTGTCTCCTAGAGGTTGGAAACGGTACCGAATACCCCGAGATTCATTACACACCAACTACTGACATGACTGATATAACCAGAGTCTTCAGGGATGTGTACGTATGTTCACAAAAATAATGAATACGGTGGGGGGTCATTACTCAATAGATCTAATTTTAGTAACCTGTTTCCATTCATTTATTTCGACCTAACAAAACAGAAAATGGACATTGAGGATGGTACCACAAAACTGACATTTAAATATGAGCTATCTGGAACAACGGCAACAGCTTATTCTGTTTACGCATTAACTCTCTAGGAGAAGAATGTTGAGCTAATTCAGAAAGATGGTAAAATAATACTCAGATCATAAATTATGTAACGTATATTATATACAAGTAATGACAAAATATTACGCTTATGGAGTGTCGCTTAGTAAAGGACAATTGGAAAAGCTTTTGAGAGCTTACAATAATAATTCAGCAATAACAATCAGACTTAACTTGCCAGAAATGAGTTATCCGGTCCACATGAACTAATGCTAACAAAACTCAGATCAATAAATTGAGAAAACCAATGAGTCAGGGTACAGGGTCGGATATCAAAATATCAAAAACACAAATCAGAAAGGCCATTAAACACGGTGGTAGTTTGTTGGGATCATTGATCAGTTTAGGAAGTAAGTTGCTACCTATGGCCATGCCACTCTCTCAGCCAAAAAAGCTATCGCACCGCTTGCAACTGGCGCAGGTCAGAAAAAGGATATTCTTAATTCTCTCCAAACGGGTAGTGGATTTGTTATCAGACCAACGAAAACACAGAGCGGCGGGTTTCTTGGTACTCTACTAGCGAGTATAGGAGTCCCTCTATTACTAAATGCATTGACAGGAAAGGGTCTCCAAGCCGACAGTACCGGTTCCGCTAATACAATGTAAGTTTACGTTCCCGGTACAACTAATGGCCGTGGGATGATCAATCCATATCCCTACATGTCACCACCCTTTTTTGGAACGTGGAATAACCCAGTTGGTGCGGGAATAAAAAAAAGGAAAGGGAAAGGGACTGCTGCTCGGCAAGAACATTCCCTTCAAATCAATCCCAATTCTAGGAACAATACTGTAAGATTCACAAACAAACCGTTATCGAATATTGAATTTTTGTGACAATGGGTTACACAACTGAGAATAAAATATTTCAGAGGTATCTACATACGCGATGATTTACAAAATAAAATACACCAACTGGAAACAGGAATAATTAATCTTGACGATTCGACGAGGGGAAGTTAATCACTCGATTTGTTATAGAAGTGTGGATAAACAATATTGTGAGTATTTTGATCCGTTCGGTTCGATTATGCCCAATGAGATCAAAAATTATCTGAAAACACGCGGTAAAAAAAAGGGTTTACTCATCAGATGAAATACAAGAAAGGGACAGTGTTTATTGGTGCTTTTATTACCTTCTGGAGAGACAAAAAGGGAAACCATTATTAGATGTTATACACAACCCCAAATTCAGTTCCACAGATCAAATGATAAATCGCAAGTTTATGTAATCCTATTATATAGAATGTCAGAAAAGTTCCGTGTTTATTGCAAGGAAGTTACTCCACATTATGTAAAACAATATGGTTGTTTTGACTGCTGCAACTGTGAGCCCTTGAGTGAGAGTGATTATGAGTCAGACAGCAGCCACGATACTTATGTTCCAGACAGTAGTGATAGTGATTAGACAATAATTATATAACATTATTGTATATGATGGTGAAATCTTATTGAGTTAAACGGAAGAAACAGACAGAATGTGTAGAACCTTCGGGTTACAAAACTAACAAAAATGGTAGACTAATGTTTTGGTGCACTTGTGCTGAATGCGGAATGAAAAAGTTTAAATTTGTAAAGAAAGGAGACTAGATCAGCCTTTCCTAGGGGCAGGCGTAATGGACACAGTAGCTGGTACAGCACTGGACATGTTTGGCCACCACGGGCTTCCTTGGATGGGTAAAAAAGCAGTTGAAATGGGAAGATATTATGGTTCCTAGGCTCTAAGAAACCCTAAATTACAGAAAAAAGCTATAGATTATGCTTTGGACAAATTGAATCCGATGATTCAGATTGTCGTATCTCAAGCTCTTGACCAATTATCAACCAAAATACGGCCAAAGAAAAACTATAAAACAAACAGGAAAGATTTGGATGGATGGGCTTTGGACATCCACAAGGCCATTGGTAAATTACTAAGACCCGCAGGCGGATGGACCTTACCAGGCCACAAATACACAGGGCCCTATAATGATCTTAAAAACCAAGTGGAATACAATCCAGAAACTGGCGAAATATTAGAAATTTATGATCAACCAACTAGGCCAACCGATGCTGTGGCCATACAACATGATATTGATTATAGTGTTTGCGGTGATAACCGAAAGTGTAAAAATAAAGCTGACCGTAAAATGGTAAAATCGTTAGACACCATTCCCTATAGTGAAAGACAATGGGGACACTGGTTAGCTAGAAATCTAATAAACACAAAACAGAAACTTGGACTTGGTTTCAACTAGAAAAGCCGTCGGCTATTAGTTGGCAACAACAATTGGCGGACGAATTACATAAACCAATAAAGCGTAACTTTACTCGGCGGCGCGTTATTACAACCGGTATTGACAAAATTTGGTGCTCAGATCTAGGTGAAATGCAACAGTTCAGCAAATGGAACAAGGGTTACAGATATCTTTTAATGGTACTAGATCCGTTCTCCAAATATGGCTGGATTGTCCCATTGAAGGATAAGAAAGGGGAAACCGTCACGGAAACATTCAAAACAAACTTTAAGGAGGGCCGCAAACCACAATATCTTTGGACCGATAAAGGGAAAGAATATTATAACAAGAATATGAGGGAACTGTTGGAAAAGAATGATATAACACTATACTCAACCGAGAATGAGGACAAATCTAGTGTGTGTGAAAGATGGAACCGTACAATTAAAACTTAAATGTGGAAACAGTTTACTGTCCAGGGTAATACCCATTATCTTGACAAACGACCAAAAAAATTGGAGCAAATATAACAACACCAAACACAGTTCCATTAAAATGACTCCTATAGAAGCCAGTAAGAAAAAGAATGAAAGTGCCGTGTATTTTAATCTGTATGGTGATATGGAGCAATTGTCATCTAAGCCCAACTTCAAGGTTGGCGACAAAGTTAGGATAAGTAAGTCCAAGAGAAATATGTTTGATAAAGGGTACACACCTAATTAGACAGAGGAGATATTCCTGATCGATAAAATCCAATCCACAAACCCAATCACATACAGATTAAAGGATCCCAACAATGAGGAAATACAGGGCAGCTTTTATGAACCTGAATTACTGCCGGCAAGATAGGACGTATTTCGCATTGAAAAGATCATTCGGAGGGATTATAAGAAGAAACAAGCTCTTGTAAAATGGTTGGGTTTTTATAGTGACGACTTTAATAGTTGGATTCCACTGAGCAGCTTACAAGAATTATCTAACTAAATAGTATAATGGACGGTCATATAAGAAAGCTTGATACTAAAATCCGTAGTAAGGAAAATGAACTCAATGCAGTTTACACTAAAATCTAAAAATTGGAAGAAGAGATTGCGACATTACACCACAAGAAATTAATCTCCAAAAAACTGGAAACAGCAGAAATCTCATTAACCGGCGTCCTTAAAGCGATCTTTGGAACGGAAAAGGAGGAGGAGAAAGTGTAGGGATAACAACAAATAATTAATTCGTTGGCGTACCCAAAAAGGAGCGCCAGCTGCCCCGCTTAAACGCCGGGTCAACAGCGTAAAACACGCGGTCCGTCCGTGACCTATTTTATTGATCCTTCAAATGGGGCATCAGACCTAAGGTGCTGAAACGGCACCTCAGGCCCAGCATACTTTTTAATCTATCATAAATACCATTTTTATTGGTCTGTATGATAGAAAATTATGTAACCTACTATAATAATGGTATTTATGACTGAAAAAAAGTTTGCTAATGAAGATTTAGAAATTGAGCTGACATCATATATTGATAGTAAGCAAAATGTTTGGTTTCGAGGAAAGGGTATTGCTGAGATCCTCGGTTATAGCAATTCAAGAAAAGCTTTGAAAGATCATGTATCACAAGCGCATAAAGAGCTAATTTGTTGGGGTAACGGTTCGTTATGCCCCTATCAATGTAAACCCCGTGAGAGGGGAGTGCGGGCAAGGGGTGGGGATTTGCGAACATTGTAAAAAAGTAGCAACATGTTTTGAACTACTTGATGGACTCTTCTTGTGTGATGATTGTATGGGTAACATTATTATTGGTATTGATCATATTGCCAATTTTACGATTTGCCGAACTAATTGGTATATGAATACTGTAGAAGCTAACCAAATTATGAAACAATATTTGAAAGAACAAGAACGCCAAAAACAACTCCAATTGATGCAACTTCGTAAGAATCTCAATACATTTACCTTGAAGCAACTAAAAAAAAAAATAGAAAAGATGAAAGCTGATACGTTTGCTGTTACTAGAATGAAAAGAGACCAGATCATAGAACTAATTATCGCTTACCATTATTTGTTTCCTCATTTAAAGGGACTAAACGTAACCCCTCAATAAGATAGTACTAAACCCAAACAAACCCCATTACCATTGAAACAGTTAGCTACTTTGGCTTTACCCCAAAATGCTAAAAATTTAAACATTGCTGCACCAAACACCAAGAAAACTCCAAAAATTCCATCACCATCTATCAAAATAGATCCAAACATGTTTGACCCAACCCAACTCAAAAATGTACCACCCATTTATTGCAACAACTAACCGGTTAATCATGTCGTATTATTTGATAAAGTTCATATTGGGCATCAGCTATTGCTTCATAAATGTTGACATTATTGAATTTAATTCTTCGCCTTTTTAGTAGTGTATCACGTAATAACTGCAGATTAAAAATAAAACATAACACTTTGATTGTATGATAAGGCAATTTTGTAAATGACCAAGCTTTCGTCGTAAGGTTTGTTCATAATTATCGATTTTTCTGATTAAACTGCCTGGTGTTCTTTTATTAAACCTGAAATCTTCGTAACTTCTTTCACATTCCTCCGTTGCTTCCATGTCAAGTTCGTCAAATTGTTTTTCATAAACTTCCCTTCTATATTTACTTGGGTCATAATCATCTTCATCAACTTCATCATCGTCACATTCAAGGTAATCAACTAATGTATTTCCTCACTGTACCAATTCTTCTTCCTCATCTTCTTCATAAAATTCGCAAATCTCAATGGTATTAACTATTGCAACTTCATGTTTTACCACTTCTTGTTCTCCCATATCGATCTCTCTTACTTCGTCAAAAATGACTACCTGATCGGCTGCTTCATGTGGTACAAGTTGTGGTGATCGTATTCGTCGATAATAACTTTAGCCGCGTCCGTGGCCGAAGATAGCTTGACTTGCACCTCGGTGCCATTAAACTGATCTATAACTTTTGTGCTCATAATATACTATAGCGTTTTGTCTTTAAGTATAATTCGGTTTTACCAATTAATTAGCGAAAATGACCGCCCAAAACCGGTTACCAAAAATGCTGACGTCAGCAAGAATCCCCAATTTCCTAGGGGTATGTGATTTCCGGGCGGCACAGCCATCGTAGTTGAAAGTCTCAACAACTTTTCGGACATGAAAAGCTGTTTTATGTTTGCAGCAAAGTTCATAGTAAAAATCCAAGGCTTGATGACTTCAACAATAAAAGGGCTTTAAATGTCCTAAGCCGACTTGAGCGAAGAAAAACTAAGCGGCCATATAATAGCTCTTCCGCCTTTGACAGTTTCCCTACCGACTCCAAAAACCCCTTACATCCGCTTCTGATACTGAACTTAACAAGACTGAAACGGAGTTTATAATAATAATGAAAGAGAACAAATGAACATCAAAGTTGTAGTATTAAACAAAGGATGTCAACCAACCTTCATCATTTGCATGTTCTACCCACTTGTCGATAGCGGTTGAAAGGGCCATTACATACTCCTCTTCTATCTTCTTTAGTTCTTCCTCCTTCTCTTTTATCTGCATCATTTTCGTGTTTTTTTTGTTCATCCTCTGCTCTCTTTCTTCGTCCAGGTCCCTTTCTGTTTTGTGCCCAGAAGAGAAGACATATTTTAGTGCGCTAAGGTCGGGGAGACCTTTAGCAGGGACTCGTTCACTTGTAAACTTTTTCGTATCTGAAAATGTCGAGGGAAAAAAAAAATTTAATAAGACAATAAATAAAAAAGTAAATAATAATAGAAAGCAAATAAATGAAAGATAATTAATTATTTTAAGAAACACTTAATTTAGCCTTGTTTGTTTCTTTTAAATGTATTTTTTCTTGAACAACAAACCGTTTTTTTCCACACCCGAATGTCGATTTCCAGAGTAGCGACGTGATTCATTGGTTAAGACCGAATCTATATATATTATACCGAATATATTTATCATGGCTCTTGATTTATAGAAAAGGTGGGAAAATAGTAGGCAGATAGCAAGTTGCGACTGGATAGTGAACGCATTGTTTTCTCTTCGGCCTGACTTGGAAGCCCTGAGATAAAGTAGGGGACGATTACATCAGCGTAGGTTGCTTCTGTTGGTCAAAAACATGCACCAAACAGCTTGTTTACTTAATTTATAAGCGATTCGTGCTTCAGTCAATGAACCCAAAGAAGTGACAAAGAATCTTACATCTTACTTACGGCACTTCATATACAGTAAAACGCTTACACTTGTAAACTAACCTACTCTTTAATCATGGCACAGATTCGGGACTTTGCTGTTGGGAGGGGGCGAAGGGAAAATTTGGAAAATTGTGAGTACCTTTGTGAAAATCAAGGGTACTCTCCTGCTCAATCCCAGTTTGAGTTTCCTGTCTCAACCAATCAAGTTCATCAAGAAGTTTCTTTCGAGGCTCCATACTTAATGAAGTTACCTGGGTCTGTGAATTCAGAGCTTTAAAAAAAGTACCAATTTTTTCAGCATTATTGCCTGCAACAATTTCATCGTTATGGATTATTAAAACCTCTGCTTTACTGTAAAATTTTGTAGGGCGATCACTGGCATCTTGTAAAGTCTCTATTTCTTTTAGCGAAAGAGCAGGATGAAGTGTGCGTGGCTTTGTCACTCTCTCCAACACCTCTACAAGGTCATATAACTTCAAGGCTTCAAAAACCTCTTTTAACATCTTGATTGGAGTATCAGGAAAGAATTCTGTAATGATCCACTGTCCCTGTCTGGAAAGGATTTTCCCCCTATTGAGCCCAAATGATCGATAGAATCGATCCATCGCAGTTGGGTCACTTTGAAGTCTGGAAGATAGTTCGGCGGTCACCTCTTTGCTCAGATCCTTCAAGCAAAGTTTGGAAGAGGAATCTACAAATTCAAAGGAAAATTTCTAAATCTGAAGTTAACAACCAGTAGCTACCAGTTCTATTCCCGGCTCCAAAAAATCAATAAAAAAAACAAGGGTTGATTTAGCATGACCCTGTATGTGTTCAGGCACCGGACAGTCTAGCATGGCTAATTTTATTGCTGCCAATATTTATCTGAGACGTCCTCAGAATATAAATACCTCATCGTTTGAAATTTTTCTTAAAAGAGTGCGTCGCGGCAGCCTAGTCCATTCTCAAGGTTTATTAGTAAATGCCAACTGCTCGCAATTACTCTCTACGAGACTCAATAGCTAAAACAAAGACAGAAAACAACAACACTCATTCAACTAAACAATGGGGCTGATAAGAAAATCTTCCTCAGCAGTTAGACCTTACAATTAAACCTCGTTAACTGATACGGACACCAAACGGCCGGGAAAGCGGCCAAGTGTGTTGGCATTACAGCGGTATCCTTGTTACAGTGTCAGGGAATGTGTGAAGTTTTCTATCTTTAAGAACAAAAGAACTGTCCAAGTTGTTTTGGTGTACAAAAGGACGAGTTCGACTACAGCTATTTCGAGAAAGGTCGGAAAATGTGCACGCGACAATCCCGAAAGGTATTGTGGGTGGTTTTGAATTCAATGTTCTTTAGAGAAATTTGAGAGAATGGCAGAGGCCATGGATATATGTTTGCGAGTGCTAAAGGAAGGTAACAAAAATAAGTTCGACAGTTACAGTGTCAGGAACAGTGAATTGATCGTATCCCATATTACCTTTCGGGACTGTCGAGTGTGCATTTTTTCCGACAACTTTTCTCGAAATACGTAGCTGTATGCTTAACGGATACTCAGCAGGTTCTGCCCGGGGGTTCTGCCAACGTAATAAAGTGGAATTGGATTTACGCAACCATAGTCAACAGATTAAATCCACACGAACATACCAGCAGACTGAAGTGCAAGTATCCGGTGTTAAGGGTTCTGCGCTTGAGCTTGTGACAAATGAAAACACGCATTGGAAACGAAAGGAATTTACCCTCACAAGTTAATAGATAATATTTTTATCTTACCGCTGATTTCTTCCATTCCAAGCTCAGACAGAGTACCATGTGATCGCGGCAATCCACTGTCGCTTGGTTCTGTCGTGACGCTGTGCGCCTCTGACTTTTCTAAATAATTCTGAACATAGGCGAACTTCTCTTGATCTAAATATTTAGGTCGCTTCATTTCCTTTCCGTCATGATCAGGGTCTTCTGAAATTGAAATAAACAAAACAAGAACGCTCTTAAGGCGATTAATTCTAGACGAGACAGGATTTACTCGCTATAGGTTTTTCACTTCCTTCTTTATCGACGATCGAGTATTCTTCAGGATATTTACTTTTTCTATCCTATCCGACGATTTGTTTTTGAATTGATTTAGTACACGTGTTAGCGACGACTGGAGATACGTCTGCGGTCGCAGGCTTGATACGCGTGTATAATTACACGAACATTCAACGGCCTCGATTCGAGAGAAATTACATCGTGATGAGAACATGGCACATAAACCGTATGCTCATCACAAGACTCATTTGCATAAAATAAAAGTTTACAACACCCGACTAGTTAGCCTTTGCTAATTAAGATTCTTCTTTTTTTTTTCGACCACTGGAGTGCTCACTTGTTCCAAAGTTATCAACTCTTTCAGGCGATAGAATTTGTGGACCGACCCGTTCCGGAAAAGCTCATCGCATTTATTAAGGTTTCCTAAGCTTTCTTTGCAAAACACCAGTGAAACATGAGTGGCTTCGGTCACGCAACGATTCTTATTCCCAGTTTCCACGGTCTCTGCTAGGAGCGCCTGGGACCTCAACCACTCTTTTGTGTCCTAAATACGAAGAAGGAAAACGGCTTGAAGATTATGAGACTTGCTGCTTACGCAAGCGAGACTAATAAAGATGCACCAAAAAAAGGCCTTAAAAAAAAGCCTTGGAGTAATTGTATGAGTTGATATTGACGTCATAACCTTATTCGCGATTAAATCCTGTTAACAGGTTAAATTCTTTATAAATAGGATTCTGCGATTTTAAATTACATCAGATCACATCGCGAGTATCTCCAGCTCCTTCAATCAACTAAAAAAGCTCATTAATGGCTGGCGAGCCCTATGTACGCTATTCTCTACATCTTTTAGGAGGAAAAAGCCAAAATTTGTCGGATGTTATTGTCGGATGTAAGATCAGAAGCACGCGCACGCGGAGTAAACTGCCGACTTTTGCTTGCTGGTCTCGGGAGAAAAGAGAGGAAAGGTCCGGAGTAAACTATCTTTGCGTTAGCCTGTTCCAGGCTCCGAGATAGTCAGGTCCGCGGGGATTTAGAAAGCGCGAACATGAAAATAAAACGGGAGTTTCACTTTCGCGTCTTCCCCACTATCTACGAACCTGGAAGAAGCTACAATCATGGTCAAAAGTGTTGGGAAGGTTGCCTTTTTTACCCCTTCTTTGTCTTCCTCCCCCTACCCCTGGCCCACTGTCGTTCTAAATGTTAATGTTTGTGCGCCCTATTGTTCTGTTATATCTCAACATTGAATAGGGGGGACGTGGGATGTTTCGCAAAAGCGTATACTCTGTTTTTTCAGGATTATATCGGACTCCTGTTAAGTTGTACACCCTTCCCTACTAATTATGTTTGTAGTTG